GCTTGAAATCCTTGTCACTCTGGTGGTCAAATATGACAAACCATACATTCTCCCCTAATCTCTGGCGCCGGTTGTATGTAAGAGGGCGCGCCACCGATCGAGTCTGTTGAAGGTATTGCAGATAGTTGCTGAAAGTGTCCATAGCAAGCAGTGTCATCTCGGGGGTGAATAGGCCAAGCCAGCCTATGTGTGACTGCCAATTGGGCAGACCGGACGCTCTAAGGAGGATGATCAGCTGCAAGAAATATTCGGTGAAATCCAGGTCGCATGAGTCGAAGTCATTGGGAAGATCGAGCGTCTGCTGAAGCGTAGCCACAACCAGCAGGATGTTCACGATCGTCTCAGCCTCCGCTCTCCTCTGACCTATATCCGACATGTCGGTAGGGGAGTATCAAGGTAGTCGAGAGGATGGTGTGGGACTGTTGGTAAGATGGGAGGGGAGGGAGCGTGCTGCTGAGGGGACAAGTTGTGTGGGTGGTCAAAGATACATGGCAAGTGAAAGATAAGCAAGTAGAAACAAGGATAAGGACGCCTGCAGGGACACAAAAACGTCGTCTCGAAAAACATCATTTTGATCCCGCATCTCACAAAAAATGGTTTCAAATTTAAAATCGTTCGGGATAAAATTCCCCAGCCAAAGACTCCCCTCGACGGAAGCAAATATCGTCCGAGATGAAAAATCACCCGCGGTGATTTTTTGATATTTGAAACATACTATTGAACTTGAGAAAGCGTTCAACTGAATTAAACTGACATTTTATTTCTCTTCTCTAATCATCACAAAATCACCCCTTCCGCCCCCCTTTCATCAAACACCAACCACATTTATCCACTCTCAACATGCCAACCCACGCTGCTAACAAGTTGAAGGGCAAAGCAACCACCCAGCGCTGTTGGCGATATTTTTTTTAGCCGTGGCATGGATTTTGTCGATGGCTCTCTTCGCCAGTCACAATCATGGAGGTTGCCATATACTTTGGGTCTCTTCATGTATCGAGAGCGGGCAAGCGTGGTGTACATGTTGATGAGAGAGAAGCTGCAACAGAGTGCCGTCGCCACCAGGTCGCCACCCCGCAACTTCACGTGTTGTTCAGTGATACCGTGGCCATCGATGATGACGATGGTGTGTCTTGCCCAGCAATGAGGATGACACGAGGGATCAAGACCCCAAAGACAGGCAAATGGAAGAGGATGATTCAGGGGGGGGGATGGAGGATGGTGAGCATGATGAGCATGGCAAGCAAAAAGAACAGAAAGCAAAAAGAACTTCCCAACAGGGAATCGAACCCTGGTCTCCCGCGCAATACGATTCTGTGCAAAAGAAATACATTCGACATCACTGTCGGACATGGGCGGAGACGGACAGGATCTAATCAGGTCCAGACCTCTGCAGGGCCAGCCACGTGCTTATCCCTGAGCCATGCCCTGGCCCTGAGGCAGCCAGTTTGAGACCACAAGTTTAAGAACACCAAATTGAATTCCCCTACTGTTCATGTTTCCGCCAGACTCACTTCATGCACTTTCCTGCTGCTATCGGCGGTATACGTACAAATAGTTTGCATTTTGTAATCAGTCTAAAAACTTGCCCGCAACTTGTCAAGCGGGTCTGATACTTGTGTTACAAATATCAAAAAATCACCACAAATGATTTTTCGTCTCAAACAATATTTGCTTCCGTTGAGGGGAGTCTTTGGCTGGGGATTTTTATCTCGAACAATTTGAATTTGAATACCGCGCTGATTTAGTCCAACTCAATTTTGGCTGCATTTCCAGAAAAACATTTTTTGTTACCAAATTGTTAAGATATGGACAGATTTGTCACAGACCTCCACCTTGCCTCCACTCAACCTCCACTTTATTGGTCCACCCCGTGTGCGCACACCAACAACGCACCAAACGGATGTGCACACATTGCAAACACAGTTCTCTTGCGCACTGCAGTTCCGAGAATGACCTTCTCACGGATCAAGATATGTATCGAGCGAGTACATCTACTGGAATGTTTGCATGAAACGACTCATTTTCATGTAAGGACCAAGCGGTAGCCCACTGCTTACATTTCACATTGGGGGGAGGCGGTGTAGTGTATTTCCTTTGGTCAAAGGTATTGCCGTCGGTAATCGAACAGCCCTTAGAGCCCTTGCATACATCTTCTCTTGCAGAGCGCTTATTGTTCTCAAAACAAGAACAACAGTTCAAGGACATTGATGTTCGTAATTGACATTGTCCTTGGAACAAGGACCACAATGAGTTCCAGCAATGACGGCCAAGCTTTGTGTACCACTCACTCTATAAATACGACAGCCCAGCAGCGTATCTGTTCATCTGTGGTACAGCCTAGGTGTCTGAGTGTGCGTGTGAGTTCCCTTCTTTATTGTATACTAGAGTGCATAGCTAAATCCTGGGCAGTGTCACGACCGCGCTCCACCTTCCATGTCATCACACATCTCATTACGTATTCCTTTTGAGCTGGACGCGTCGCAACACTCATCACTCAACACTCGTCATCACTTCCTCGTTTGTGGCACCCCTCTTGCTTATCCTGTTACCTCACAACCATCATATAGATCCAGGAGCTACGCATCTCAAGGGACATTGCTATCACAACACCTACACAGCAATTCATCTCCGAGACACAACCAACTTCGACTTAACCCGATACCTATCTCCAACCAAGAACCTAGACACCCGAGTACCCTCATTCTTCTCCACCCCAATTACGATCCAAAGACACACCCAATCACCCTGTAACTTAGAGACACTTTCTATACATAGAAACACTTTTCTTTACATAGAGTCTGCTTCCAAGATATCGCGAGCCGTAGCAATTCTAGAACTTATTTCCATAGCAACTCATGAGAAAGCGCAGCAAGCCAAGGGAACGGCTTAGTCAGTTGGGTGGCGAATATGGGAAAGCTGAGTAAGCCGCTAGGGCTCTGGATGTCTATATAAGTCGATAGTTTTACATAGATTCGAGGATCCCAGCGACCTCGAATACGTCTGACTTGTCTATGAACTAAGGAACAAGTGAACAGGCCTATTCAAACCATACTAGCTAAGCCGACAAGGAGTCTTAAGCCTTAGGTTAGTTGCAAACCCCTATCGAGACCAAGATAGATTTGCATAAGGTCCCGCACGTACCCGTATATTGTTGTTAACACAAGTATCAGACCCGCTCGACAACTCGCGGGCAAGTTTTTAGACTGATTACAAAATGCAAATTACGTGTACGTCCCGCCGATAGCAGCAGGAAAGTACATGAAGTGAGTCTGGCGGAAACATGAACAGTAAAGGCAACTGAGGTTGGCAGACAGGCGAGAAGGATGTATATAGTACAACAGACAAAGGCATAGGCGACAACTTTCTGGATTTCTTGGTGGGGCCTGAGGAAGATTCGACTGCAGGCTCTTTAGGAAAGGCGACGCGGACACAAAGGCGGGCTGATCATCGACGAAAGCAGCCGAGTCCCCCTTCTTGCCCTGTGTACAGGTTGGGCTTCGGACCAGGTGCTGGGGACAGAAGGGACCATAATTGAAGGATGTGGGTGTAAGTATTGGATGTGGGGGCAGATGGGACGGTGAATGGGGCGTTCAATGGCATGGATTTATGGTGCTTGAAAACGGGCGGTGGTGGAAAGTACATGGGGTGCGGGTGGGCGAGGAGATGCGGAGGTGAACGGGTTGAGAGGATTAACAGAACAGCAAATGAAGAGGACGCGAGCGGGCAGATGAGGGAAGGAGGTCGATGATGAGACCGAAGGGCAACAGTGTTGGTGGGGGATGGTTTAGGAGGATGTCCGCCTTTGTTGACCGTCGTTTGTAGTGCGCCGTAGGGCTTGGTAGTCAAAAGGGGTTTTGATGGCGCAGATTTTGGCATTTTCGAGAGAAAATACCGGAGCAAGCGAGTGATGGAGCAATATGATAGCAACGATGGGAGGAAGTTGAGGGGAAATTGAAAGGAGATTGAGAGCCAGAGGCGAGTGAAAGGCGGGTGGTGATCCCAGCGGCGTTGAGTGGTTGTCGGGAAGAGTCGGAAGTCGGAAGTTGTTGGGCGCGCGTAAACGTGGTGAGGGGAGTGAAAGGTATGTTTGTATGATGATGTCTGCAGCTGGATACTGTGCATGTAGATAACGATCTGTTGCGAAGAGAGCGCGAAGAGAGCGACGGTGAAAGCGAGCAAAGCCAAAAGAAGAGGCATTACGCGCAGCGGCGATGAGCGGGTGAACGTGGTGGGGGGAGTGACAGGGATGATGGAATGATGAGCTCTGCAGCTGAATACTGTGCATGTAGTTGACGATCTGGCGCGAAGGGAGCGCGAAGAGAGCGCGAAGAGAGCGACGATGAAAGAGAGAAAGGTCAAAAGAAGAGAAATGACGCTCGGGGGACCGAGGCAGTACTGGAGAACGTCGCGTCGAGGGCCGTAGGGCTGGAAGATGGATGATGAAACGGCGGCAGTTTTGCGCACGGTAGGGCTTTCAGTTGAGGAGAGGCTTCGAGGCGCTGAGTTATGCGATTTGGGAAAAGTGAGAGAGTGAGAGCGCGAAAAGAACGACAATGAAAGCGAGAAACGGAAAAAGAAGAGGAAGGAGGTGCGGCGGCGATGAGGACGGGTGGATTCTTAAACCTTATTCAACTTTTTGTCGAGTTCGACATGAGTGGCCTATGCATGCATGGGGAAAGAACGGTACGAGGAGGAAGGCTAAGTTTTCTGGAGTACGACAGGGGAAAAGGTGAAGGGAGGCAAGGGTTGGGGCAAGCGCTGGAAAGTAACGGAAGCAAATGCCGACCGTCAAACCTTATTTTGAGGTTCATTTTCCAGTTCGACATGAGTCGACTATGCATGCATGGGTGAA